CACAATTAACTAGAATGCTTCATATCTACAAATATATATAGAAAATAGATTGCACTTCTTTATTTAATCATTACCCTTTTTTACCCTAATAGTACAAGTGCTTCCCCGTGTGCGAGATAGGCTTAAGTCGGAAAGCGCACGTTATATCTCCGAGGTACCTATCTACCAGAACTCTATTTGCTGTTCTGGCCATACATAAATATATGTAAGTTACGTACATGGGGAGGCTAGATTATTTACAGCTTACAGCAATATAGTGCAAATATTATGTTCAATAAAAGAAAACGTTGATAGATCTATAACACACTTTTTGTACTATTAAACCAACTGTGGACTTTTAAGACATTTTCGCTTATTGTAATAACATCTAGCTAACCAATCATGTCTATCTCTGAAATCCACAAGCATAGTTGCTGTCAAACCTAAAAAACATATTCAGGGAGGTCAGTTTTGATTTGCCAAGCACCTTAAGGTGAGTTTATTTTTAAACTGTCAAAAGCGATTGTCCCTTCAATACTAGTATATGTCTGGAAGCTGTCTCTCGGACTGTTATGGGTTATGATGTATTTTATGATATAACTGGGGAATGTTCAAATTAGTTACTGTCGTTTAATCCAACGTTCTAACTGTCAACTGTCTCAACAGGATCATAGGTTTGGTTATATATCTCCTCCCTGTCTCTATGTCTTAAGTTGTTAATCGGTAACTGCGGTCCAAATGTATCAACTTATTCATCTATTGTTGCAAACTTGACTGATTTAAACATATCTTATTGATCATGAACTACTCAGTCAGTCAAGCACCTGTATCAGAAATGTAAAACCAGCCATGTTTCATGTAGTCCCAATATCACTGAAAAATGCCGATGTAACGTGACAAATAAATTTACTCACAGGCAATATATTTTTCGTGAGAGTGAAGCACAATTTTATTAAAGTTTTATTAACAATTTCATAAACTATAATAATATTAATATTAAAATTCATCATCACTTGCCAAGTTTATGAAAATGTCCCCATTTGGGAGATGTCACATATAAACAAGGATTCGAACTAAGTTTGATCGTCTTTGACACTGAGGTTTATCCCCACTTTGCCAGCAAACTGCAGAAGATTAACAGTGAGTGAGTGAGCATCGTTTCTATGTTTATACAAGAAAAGATGTCATGCCAAAAACGCTCACAGTAGTTAGTAAGTAAACTCACGACCTGTCATGACCTGGTTGAGTGACTTCCTCAAATGAACGTGAAAGGATTACCCACAGAGAAAGAAAGGATTAAAGTCACCCATAAATCTTATCCTAACGTAGTACTCCAACTTCTAAATGCCTCTCAAAGAAGGATTAAAATCCTAAAGATATCCTATCTACGTGGTATAGGTACTCACAACCTCTAATAATAAACTGTTACGTTTGGTATCCCCAGCAATACTCACTATGGTAATTGGGCAAATGTGAAAATCACAAACCCTAACGAGATTCTGTCTACATGGTCACACCCGGTGATTGTGAAGATCTCAAATTTTATCAACTGTCAGACAGCATGGCTGTTCATATTCATTTACAACATCCTCTTATAATTAGTATAAAAGTGTCCCAAACAAAACCTTCTTTTATTTATTTTTCAAAATACAACACAGAAAGTTTGGTGTGGGGAAATGGGACATATTCCTACGTGAAATAATAAGACATTAGTAGTGGTGACGGCTATGTCATAATTGAACTGTCTAAAGCATAAATTTGGCGAACGAAAAACGTTATATTTGCAATCAAATGGAATGACTCGTGTGGGCAAATGAATATGTTCGCAATCCACAAACAATTATTTAATTAATGGCGAACATTTACCAACCCGCGACAATCGTGTCAACACGGGGGTTTCTTAGCAATAAACTCGCATCTAAATTCACTACTGTTCTACTGTCGGCTAGCCACAATGGCTAGACTGGACCCTAGTGGAATGGTTCATGCCATAAAAGTCTAGCAACCGAACACTAATTAAGATGGGCCGACCTTGTATTTACGGTCTGGTGAACACAGCTCAATGGCCGCTCATTAATTTCACATCTCACTGTTTTGTTTTATTTCACTATTCATTTGATAAATTTGTCAACTTCAACTGGAACCCGGTCCCGTGTTACACGCGTGGCACACGCGTGTGCAACGGGTTGCACACGCGATTCACACCCGTTGGACACGGGTGTGCAACGGGTGTGAATCGCGTGTGCAACCCGTTGAGCACCCGTGTCACATGCGTGTAACACGCGTTCTCAACGCGTGTTAGGGGAATGAACTTTTAGGCAGTAGTGTAATATACATACTAGCAATATCCCAAGGGCCAAGGGAGTTAACTCCAGTTTCAACCCTTGCCGAACAAGGCCAGAATTCCTGGGCCCGATCGTAGCGCCACCAGTGGCTATTACGAGTTATGACCCTAATATGTTCCTCCTCTTAACCAATCAGATTCCACCTCTCATATTACTTGCATTTCAAACAAAATGACGGCGCCCGGTCAATTCGACCTGATCGATAATCAAATCCAGTGTTGTAATGAAACGGGTCTTACTTTGACGAAGTACATCAATTCACGTGAGCAGCTTGATTAAAAACATTTAAAAAATTGGAAAATATCTTTTGACGCCGAGTTGGTGGTAAATATGTTTTACAAATCCTGCAATCGACCGAAATCTGCACGGTGATTTACGAACTGGATGTCGATTTCGTAACGTAAATTATCATTGGACTATGCATAGACTCGTTAGTCCAGCCAAAATATAACTCCATAATTCCAGCCTTCTTCGGCAAGGGGGAAAACGGGACTTTTATATTCAGTAAACTCGGGAAGATGCAATTACTCCGAACATCAGTTTGTGTTCTCAAATTTGATTTTGTATCTCAATCTAACAGGAAAGGTTTATCCTAACTACCGAGATACAATGTCTCAATTTTTACAAAACAGACTCCGGCCCCAAGAACAAATTCCCCCTTGAAGCTACAAGGTTTCGCCATAGTTTATTCGGGTGCTAAACATGCTCACATCACAGATGTACCTTACATCACAGATGCAGCTCACATCACAGATGCAGCCCACATCGCAGATGTACCTTACATCACAGATGCATCTCACATCACAGATGTACCTTACATCGCAGATGTAGCCCAAATCACAGAAGCAGTACACATCACAGATGCAGCTCACATCACAGATGCAGCTCACATCACAGATGTACCTTACATCACAGATGCAGCCCACATCACAGATGCAGCTCACATCACAGATGTACCTTACATCACAGATGCAGCTCACATCACAGATGTACCTTACATCACAGATGTACCTTACATCACAGATGCAGCTCACATCACAGATGTACCTTACATCACAGATGTACCTCACATCACAGATGCAGCTCACATCACAGATGTACCTTACATCACAGATGCAGCTCACATCACAGATGTACCTTACATCACAGATGCAGCTCATTTAAAAAAATTAGCTCACATCACAGATGTACCTTACATCGCAGATGTAGCCCAAATCACAGAAGCAGTACACATCACAGATGCAGCTCACATCACAGATGTACCTTACATCACAGATGTAGCCCACATCACAGATGCAGCCCACATCACAGATGTACCTCACATCACAGATGTACCTCACATCACAGATGCAGCCCACATCACAGATGCAGCTTACATCACAGATGCAGCCCACATCACAGATGTACCTCACATCACAAATGCAGCTCACATCACAGATGTACCTGACATCACAGATGCAGCTCACATCACAGATGTACCTCACATCACAAATGCAGCTCACATCACAGATGTACCTTACATCACAGATGCAGCTCACATCACAGATGTACCTCACATCACAAATGCAGCTCACATCACAGATGTACCTCACATCACAAATGCAGCTCACATCACAGATGTACCTCACATCACAAATGCAGCTCACATCACAGATGTACCTCACATCACAGATGCAGCTCACATCACAGATGTACCTCACATCACAGATGTACCTCACATCACAGATGCAGCCCACATCACAGATGTACCTCACATCACAGATGCAGCTCACATCACAGATGTACCTCACATCACAAATGCAGCTCACATCACAGATGTACCTCACATCACAGATGCAGCTCACATCACAGATGTACCTCACATCACAGATGCAGCTCACATCACAGATGTACCTTACATCACAGATGCAGCTCACATCACAGATGTACCTCACATCACAGATGCAGCTCACATCACAGATGTACCTTACATCACAGATGCAGCTCACATCACAGATGTACCTTACATCACAGATGCAGCTCACATCACAGATGTACCTCACATCACAGATGCAGCTCACATCACAGATGTACCTCACATCACAGATGCAGCTCACATCACAGATGTACCTTACATCACAGATGTACCTCACATCACAGATGCAGCTCACATCACAGATGTACCTTACATCACAGATGCAGCTCACATCACAGATGTACCTCACATCACAGATGCAGCTCACATCACAGATGTACCTTACATCACAGATGCAGCTCACATCACAGATGTACCTTACATCACAGATGCAGCTCACATCACAGATGTACCTTACATCACAGATGCAGTTCACATTACAGATGTACCTTACATCACAGATGCAGCCCACATCACAGATGTACCTTACATCACAGATGCAGCTCATTTAAAAAAATTAGCTCACATCACAGATGCAGCTCACATCACAGATGCAGCTCACATCACATATGTAGCTCACATCACAGATGAAGCTCACATCACAGATGAAGCTCCTATTAAAGATGAAGGTCACGCCACAGATGTAGCTCACATGGCAGACGAACAATTCATCACAGACATCCCTGACGTAAGACAGCCTGAATCACACAACATCACCTTGTAATTCTAGACGAGATTTGTATGATGATAGTACAGCCAGAAGTTAGAACGGAAGTACCTACTTGACCAACAAGCACAAATTCAGCTCTGCGTGCGTCCTCCTTCCGGCGCGAGCCATGGACGTCTTGTATGACGTCACTGAACGCCCGTCGATACAGCATATTGTTCTGTTGATACGAAATGATAATTCTTAGAAATCGGAGAATGATGTGCGAACAACAATAGACATGACAATCCTATTAAGGACATCCTCCTGGGGGCGCGCTAGATACTTGAGAATGCACGGGTTGTCGTGCGTAAAATGTGCCACAAGTTTTCGTTGTCTATTGGACATGAAGCTGTTATTTGGTAATTAGCATATTGTCGGAATTGGAATAATAATAATAATAATAATAATAATAATAATAATAATAATAATGGAGAAAGAAAGTGGATTTAAAGGATTTCTTCCTTTCCACGGCTACTTTGAAGTTGTTTCATTAAAAAATAATTTGATTCGACAAAAAGTCGTGTGTCTGATTTCACATTATTGACACCAAGTAATTAAAAACACTTCACAGGATTTAATCTCCATGTGATCATGATCAGTACATCCACAGTTAATGTTAACATTTCTGCTCACTGACAATATTTAAACTTCAAAGAAGAACATATTAAAAACCTCATATAGTGAACAAAACAAGATAGGGAACGTGAATGTTTTTTGTGTGTTATCTTGTGAAGACAGAGCACACAATTTCATACAAAAATATCCCCAAAATATTCATGATCCGTAACCTTTTTTGTTTCATTTTAAAACTGATATACGGACATGCAATTGTCATTTCTCAGATTATTTATAATGAAACGTCATTTGATTTTATTACATTCTTTTCAGTCACACCGGCTAAAAACATAACAAAGAAAATATGATACTGTCAAGAAAGCATTGGCTAGGTTCACTCTTGCTATTAAATTTAAGAATTAAATATCAGATATAATATCAGAATAATAGCAATAATTATCACCGCAGAGAAATGTGAAGTCGTGGAAATTAGCGGTCAATATATTGACATTAAAACACTCAATAAACGTGGAGAAATATGACCATAAGTTTTTATTGGATAAATTTATAAGACGTGTGATTGAAATTGACAATTCCCAGGAGAATTTAATTAATGATTAATGTTGTTCTTTTTGCATATCCACTATGTCCAGTATCTATACGGAATGTAAACCCCTGGGTAAAAGAAAGTATACACTAGACAATAGGAGTTGACCAAGAATTACAAACGTTATCAAAAGGTTGAAAACAGTCGGCGAAACACTGGAAAACTAAATACAACAATATTTCCGAATAAACAACATCACCATCGAAGCACCATTTCTTGTTTGTTTCATTTTAGTCCCCATCAAACATGTGTGTATAGATTCTTTCGCTCGGCTGTTTATTATTAACCCACTAGTTGAAAATGTGCGTATAACTGAACGTGGGGAATACATCCATTCATTTAATCGTCGAATGTATCAAATTTAGAATAAAAACACTTTTGTTTCTTTCGACAGATTGTTAAATTTGCTACAAAGAATTACAATGAACAGCTGTGCTGGTGTTTTTACCCTGAATTGGCGGCTGGTGTTTTTTCAGTCGCCCAGTGTATCACGGTATTTTAATAATTTAGTATACGTCAATTACTCTTTGTTATAAAATGTGTAAGAGGAAGCATTTGCTGAGATATTGAACTTCAGCGAAAATGTGTTTTTATATCCAATATATCTCTTATACACAAACACCGGAATGTACCTTTGGCGTGAGTGAGTGAGTGAGTGAGTGAGTGAGTGAGTGAGTGAGTGGGTGGGTGGGTGAGTGAGTGAGTGAGTGAGTGAGTGAGTTGGGTTTAACAGTATTCAAGTTATATCACGGCGTGTCAGCTTAATGTTGGAGGAAAGCCCGAAGTGATGCAGGCCTCAGACGTTTAACACTTCGTTCACTCATGATACTTGGTTGACGAAACGATGGTTAGAGAGCTTGTTAAAGTATGAAACTTTTTCATAATAATTCTTCTAAAATACTGTTCAACAGGGTGCTAAACCAAACAGACTCACTCGCCTTCTTTGTATTTATACGCTGGAATGAGGTTTTTTATGTTGTTTGCCCTTTCTTGTGGCTATGGAAATGGTTTTGTTGCTTTTAATAAAGTTTTTGAAGTAAAACCCAATTTATACACACAATTCACGCTGAGTGAGTGAGTATAGTTTTACGTCGCTTAGCAATATTCCAGTAAAATCACGGCGGGAGAAACCAGAAATGCGCTTCATATATTGTACCCATGTCGTAATCGAATCCAGGCTTTCGGCGTGAGAACCACTAGGCTTACCCGCATTGTGTTCTTTAATCATATGCAGTAGATGAGTGAGTGAGTGAGTAAACGAGTGAGTTTAACACCGTTTTGAAGAGAATTTTAGATAAATCATGTCATATCAGCTTCATGTCGGAGGGACCCGTGAAGATCCGGGGTAGAATAGGTCTTCAGAAACCCATGCTTGTCGTAAGAGGCGACTAACGGGATCGGGTGGTCAGGGTGGCTGACTTGGTTGATGCATGTCACCGTATCCCAATTGCGTGTATCGATGCTCATGATGTCAATCATTGGATTGTCTGGTCCAGACTAGATTATTTACAGACCGCCGTCATACAGCTGGAATATTGCTGAGTGCGGCGTTAAGCAACTTTTTGCACAAAAAAACACGTCCTGGCAGACAGAGCACTTTCTGGTGGTTGATGCATGTCATCGTATCCAAAATGCGTGAATCGATGCTCATGATGTCAATCATTGGATTGTCTGGTCCAGACTCGTTTATTGACAGACGGCTGTCATATAGCTGGAATATTGCTGAGTGCGGCCTTAAACAACAAACGTTAAACTGACGTGACGCAGGTAGCTGGTACAGAATGGTACGGGTATGTGCCGACAAACCTAGAAACGAAATCGGGGCGAACCTCAAACCTACGATCATAGGTTTTGGCTGCAACTCTGCCAACAAACGATTGAATTATACGTCGGGGTCACCCGTGTCCGTAAAAAAATAGGGACACATTACTTGTCCAGAAAGCTTACTGGGTTCGGATTAACGAGGTCCTACTATTTCAAACCTAGCGGTATACTGAACATTCAAACCTCAACACTTAAGAACTAGCATCGGGCATGTCTGTCAGACTACCGTAATTGGCGATGATGTATCCCATTTTCTTCACTAGGTCCCGCAACAGAAAGGTCAGAACAGACCTATCATAACTAATGATAACAGACAGTCATATCCTACCTCAGACTGTCTGCCGAGAGACTTATCTACAAGCCACCTCATATAAACATCTGTTTGGTTTGAGAACCGTCAGCTAAGTAGCTGGGAAGATGGCGATTTCAAAACTATTAGTTTCCATGACAATCGGGAAAGACAAGAGGAGCAGATTTGACTCCGGCGCATTGTGCAGATGATGAGGGCGTTGACAAGTGTGTGGAGTATGTGTTGCCATGGGTCACCCGATGCAGTGTAATGCTGCTTAATCCGTCTCTCATGTTTCCATCCCTCTTCTTTATGTTTATGAAGGGTACTGATACACAACAGCTCTAAGTGGTATCAATTTTTATGTCACAGGAATTAGGCTTCGTGTTCTTAAGGCTTTGTAAATATTTTTATCAAGCTTCCTAATGTTGAAAACAATATGTTGGTACTGATGCAGGCTTCGTCGATGCCATTTCGCTATCAATGGCCCACTCAAGGGGTAACCTTGTATGACGACCATCTCACGTTAACGTCAACCTACGTTAGCTATTCGTAACTATTCAGTAGTACATGCTAACAGGAGCTAACATTGGTAGCGGAAGAAGATAGCAACTATCTGACACAGAGTTGTATTTGGCGTGATGGTACATAAGGACAATCCTCAATCGCAGAGTTACATCAGTCGTATTTATACAATTTATTAAATACTTCAGTCTGAAAGACGGAGTTTTCTGTACTTGAGAACAGTGATATTTTCATTGCAGTGAAATATAACACATCATATTTCACTGCAGTTTACGTTAGTTCCACATTGACACGGTAACACAATGACAGATGGTCAAACACAATGACAAACAATGACATAATGACAAACGTTCATGATCAAAGCAATATCAGCATTTGTTGAGGACAACACCTTTGACTAAAGATGACTACCTTTGTCCTTATCAAATATTGAGTAGTATACATATAAATTATATTTGATACCTTGTTCGACTCGGACATGTAATCCTGGTACAGATTCCGTATCAACATCTCCAGCGTCCTCTCCCTCTTTTGAGCAAACAACGGGTTATTCACTGCAGCCTTTTCTCCGTTTATCACTGTAAAAAAACACAGCTCAAACTGTATATTTATGACAGTGAAACATCACTCAAATAAATCCCCTATCTCTGATTTGATCATAAACATGTCGTCAAACAATGCGAAGACACCATGAAGTTTGACATTTCCGTTTTCCGTCAAATAATACTGACATGTAGTTTATGGAATCTAGAATAGAACAAATGTTTGTCGAAATTATGTTGTTTTTCTCTCTCGTCAATGAGTGAGCCTGAGTGACTATGGTTTTACAAATCAATGTTATCTTATTTTCATACCTGCTTTTAATGTCTAAATTTCAGTCCGTTTTAAGTACAATAGAGCATGCTGTTTCTACCAAGACTTTGCAGAGCGTCATACTACTCTTGTTCAAAAGTTGTTTAATCAGGGTCACAACATTCGTTTGTTTGTATGTTTTATCGCCGCACTCAGCAATATTTCAGCTATATGACGGCGGTCTGTAAATACTCGAGTCTGAACCAGAAAATCAAGGAATTAACATCATGAGCATCAATCCACGCAAATGAGATACAATGACATGCATCAATCCAAGTCAGCGAGCCTGGCCAAGCATAGTCGCCCTTTACGGCAAACATTGGTTGGTGAAGACCTAATCTACCTCGGATCTTCACGGCTAGGTTACAACATTCAAGCCTCAGTAAAGCTTTCAAACTGCTTTTGGTAAGGATCATGTGTTAACAACACAAAGATATACAGTAAACTACGGTTATAACGAACTCGAAGGGACCTCTAATTTTAGTTCGTTATAACCGTAGTTCGTTATAAGCATATATACAGCATAACAACAGCAAATAGTCGGGACAAAAAAGTAAGTTCGTTATATCCGTCAGTTCGTTATAAGCGTGTTCGTTATAAACGTAGTTTACTGTACTCAGATATCTTCAATTGTCTAATTTATGGAGCGTTATCGAAATACTTACATTTCACAAGGAGGAAATCTCTGAACTCCTGGTGGTTGTAGAAGACAGGAGGAGAAGGAAGTGGAGGACCAAAGAGGGGGACTGATTCCTCCGAAAATACAGTGAGCCTGCCAACAGAAGCAACAGTTGGTTGGTTGGTTGGTTTGTTGTTTAACGCCGCACGCAACAATATTCCAGCTATATGACGGCGGTCTCTAAATAATCGAGCCTGGACCAGACAATCCAGTGATTAATATCATGAGCATCTGGGATCGACGACATGCATCAACCAAGTCAGCGAGCCTGACCATCCGATCCCGTTAGTCACCATTGACGACAAGCATAGTCGCCTTTTTCGGCAAGCATGGGTTGCTGAAGATCTATTCTACCCCGGATCTTCACGGGTCCGTTTGTCTCATTCTGAATATCCATGTTTCTGGATAACATCCAATTTCATCCAACTTTACTGTTCACATTACATAATGTAAGTATTCAACGCCGTTCTGTCCCTGTTACTGTTACCATTGACGACAAGCATAGTCGCCTTTTACGGCAAGCATGGGTTGCTGAAGATCTATTCTACCCCGGATCTTCACGGGTCCGTTTGTCTCATTCTGAATATCCATGTTTCTGGATAACATCCAATTTCATCCAACTTTACTGTTCACATTACATAATGTAAGTATTCAACGCCGTTCTGTCCCTGTTACTGTTACCATTGACGACAAGCATAGTCGCCTTTTACGGCAAGCATGGGTTGCTGAAGATCTATTCTACCCCGGATCTTCACGGGTCCGTTTGTCTCATTCTGAATATCCATGTTTCTGGATAACATCCAATTTCATCCAACTTTACTGTTCACATTACATAATGTAAGTATTCAACGCCGTTCTGTCCCTGTTACTGTTACCATTGACGACAAGCATAGTCGCCTTTTACGGCAAGCATGGGTTGCTGAAGATCTATTCTACCCCGGATCTTCACGGGTCCGTTTGTCTCATTCTGAATATCCATGTTTCTGGATAACATCCAATTTCATCCAACTTTACTGTTCACATTACATAATGTAAGTATTCAACGCCGTTCTGTCCCTGTTACTGTTACCATTGACGACAAGCATAGTCGCCTTTTACGGCAAGCATGGGTTGCTGAAGATCTATTCTACCCCGGATCTTCACGGGTCCGTTTGTCTCATTCTGAATATCCATGTTTCTGGATAACATCCAATTTCATCCAACTTTACTGTTCACATTACATAATGTAAGTATTCAACGCCGTTCTGTCCCTGTTACTTACCTGTAACTATCGTTGTCTTTATTGTATATCACAACAGCAAAGATATCTGTTAAGTTAAGGTCCACTGGCTTCAACCATAAACATAATCATCACGCCATATGAAGACATTGTCTGATAGACAGAGGGGAGGTTTACCATATTCAATATTCCAGCTGTATGATGGCGGTCTGTAAAAAATCGCGTCTGGACCAGACAATCCAGTGATTGACATCATGAGCATCGATCTACTCAATTGGGATACGATGACATGCATCAACCAAGTCAGCGAGCCTGACCACCCTATCCCGCGAGTCACCTCTAACGACAAGCATGGTTGCTGGAGACCAATTCTAACCCGGAGTTCTTTTTACGATATTGAAAAGCATGTATATGTGAAAGGTTTATTGGGGCTACTCAGAGGCATCAGTGTCCAAACATAAAAAAATATACCTGCAGCGGGTTCACAGTTTTGAAGGCTGTAAAATCAATATCCACGCAACATAACTGAATATTTTCAATTGATTTTCCTATTTCGGGGCACAAACTAGTAATACATCTAGCAACAGCGGCTTAGTACTACTGCTGAAATTCAGTTACGGAAGTTCAGTTCGTGTAACTCTGCGATTCCTTGTTGGCTGCCCGCGATTATTTGTGAAAAGTCGTGACACGTTCGCTGTAATTGTATTATCAAATCGGAAATGCTTCGCCGCTGTTGTCGGATGTGAAGTGCCTTGTTTTCCCCGCGGGTTTAAGGAACAACAAGCGTCATAGTCGGCTTAGACACTGATGGATACGCCGGAGGGCCAGTGGATGTCATGAATTTCGATTGGGAATAAAACTTCCAACATCGTACGAAAATACAGAATCAGAAATTCCGGCGTCTGATGTTGTAGGTATTTTAACATTAAATATTTATGAAAACAGCCTATCTTTAAAAGGACACCAAGATTTGATTGTCAGTGAGTAACTTGTTATGGTTTAAGTCGGAGGTAAAGGTATTATTTTCAGATTTGCTCTGAAATTGTTATTGAAATTGTAATTGAAATTGTTGAAAAAGTTATCGGTTCCAGGCGCAAATACTAAAAGAACCTGCAAATCTTAGAATGAAAAATGTTTTTTCGACTTCATCAGTCGCTGTGCACTTTATTTACTGTCTACGTGTACTGTCTACGTGTATGACGTCACTCTGGCGCGCCATGACGCATTCATGTATGAATGTCGTCATATACTTCCCTGACAACCGAAAATGGTATAATAAACTTCCCAGGAACATTTACAGGGAAACAGTTTCATTTAAAGTTAAAGACATTTTTATATCGGGAATACATTATGTATTGCCGAAAGTCACGTTTTGGAAATGTATGAGTGTCCTCTCGCTCATTGGGGCTACAACGTTTATCACTCCAGGAACACAAAAAATATTGAAGCCAATTCTTAACATTTCGAGGGGGCACGGGTGGCCCAGTCGTCTAAGGCGCCGCGATTCGCCGTGCAGAGTTGCGTCCCTTGGGCATGCCAGAAACCTATGATTGTTGGTTCGAATCCCGGTTCGCCCCGATTTTGTTTCTAGGTTTGTCAGCACCATACCCGTGCTCGTGAGACCTGCATCACTTCGGGCTTTCCTCCCACATTAAGCTGACACACCGTGATATAACTGGAATACTGTTAAAGCGGCGTTAAACCCAACTCACTCATTTCGAACATGTTTCTCTGGACAACTGTAGAACCCTCTTCGTTGTTGTAATAGGGACAAGCGTACATACGAACAGCGCTTGGCTGCTACCATTTTTCTCAGAATCCCAACATGTTCTATTACCGTGTGTATTATAGGTATATGCTCAACGTAGGTGTCTATGTCAAAGATAGACGAATGCAGCAAAGGATACGTGTGAATCTTGTTTTCATCATGGAAGGCTTAAAACTGGGAACTTTCTCCACATCACCATCTATAAACACGATATTTACAATATCATTTCCTACGTGACGTTTCCGTTCCACCTGAAATGGAAAATATGTATGATATATAAAAAATCCCACATACAAACGCGCGAACGTGGCTGAGAAATAGAAGGAAATCTGTATTTTTGTCAAGGATCAGAATTACGATCGCTATTCCTAATTTTAGAATTGTGATTTGTTTGTTTGTTTGTTTACGCCACAAGCGCCCATATTTCAAATCACGACCCCTTGTAATTTATAGAATCTGGGTCAGACAAACCAGTGATTAATATCATGAGCAACACTGCGAGATACAGTGATATGAACTAAGTAACCTAATCACTTGTCGTTTACGAACAGTTCTGTGGTCCCATTATAAACCTGGTCCAAACAAGGGGACCACTGTATAAATGTTGTTATTGTTATGGTTATTTGTTGTTTAACGCCGCACTCAGCAATATTCCAGCTGTATGACGGCGATCTGTAAATACCCGAGTCTGGACCAGACAATCCAGTGATTGACATCATGAGCATCTATTCACGCAATTGGGATACGATGACATGCATCAACCATGTCAGCTAGCCTGACCACCCGATCCCATTAACCGCCTCTTACGACAAGCATAGACGACATTTACGTCAAGCATAGTTGCTGTATAAATGTAACGTAAAGATGACTGATGTTTGTAAACAAAAGTCATCTTAACGCATACTTTAACACAAACGTACGCTCTATCTCACACAAAGCAGACATATAGCAAATACTGTTCATCACTCTCACTCACTCACTCACTCACTCAGTTAACATACCTGTTGTTTGTTGTCTTTGGAATAAGGCAGCATTGTAGATATATGAAACATGATTTCATGTCCTTCATATATTGTATAAACACTTTCTTCACCGGTTGTATCGGCTGAAAACAAGTGATCATCTTCAGTTGTTAGCTTACGATGCATACTAAGATGTACATTTTCTTCCCTTCGTTTACATCGTGTGGAACTCTTAGCAGTAACATATTGTTATAATTAGTATGATGCACACTAAGATGTACATATTCTCTATAACGTTCACATCGTGTGGAACTCTTAGCATTAACATATTGTTATAATTAGTGTGATGCATACCAAGATGTTCATACTATCCATAACGTTCACATCGTGTGGAACTCTTAGCATTAACATATTGTTATAATTAGTTTGAGCATACTAAGATGCACATATTCTCAATAACGTTCGCACCGTGTGGAGCTCTTAGCATTAACATATTGTTATAATTAACTGATAATTTAAAAAAAATATTGATAATTAAAGACATGTCAATTGCAATGAGCGCTCTTAGTGCCCTGAAAAGCGTAAAAACCTATATGTCTTATCCAAACTTGCACACTGTTTGGGGGCGGTGGGGTAGCCTAGAGGTGAAGAGTTCGCTCGTTACGCCGAAATCCTTTGTCGATTCCCCACATGAATGCAATGTGTGAAGCCTATTTTTGGTGTCCCTGCACCGCAATATTGCTGGCATGGTGCTAAAACGGCGTAAAAGCCTACGCACTCACGTATACTTTCTGATTCGTAGAAAACTAGCTTACTTCCTTTCAACTGTTACTTATAATATGGATGTACATTGTCAATGCCATTACATCAGGCAGACATCTTTACTTTCACCGCAACGAAAGACCCTTTTTATGGGAATGAAACAGAAACATATTTTATGAATAACATATGCATGTGCTTACATTTCACGTCCAAACCCGCCTTGAATTTATCCCATCCTTTCAAGGATATTCTGTCACCAAGAAGACTTGTAAAATTGTCAAAGGCGTCACTCCCTTCCTCTGAAAATAGGAATCAAAATGATCAGACAATTATTTCACGTGATTTATGTTTGTAATTGTTCTACTGTAGCAACTGTTTCACCATGTTTTTTGTATATCTTGTCACCCATGATGCTCTGTTTCCATCACTCGTGCGTAACGTCAACCGTACGTTGCTTCATCCATCCTGTCGCTCGTCCGTCTCCTTCACCACGCGTCCCTTCAAACGTCCAGCAGGGTATTATCACGCATCGCTTTCACGTCAGTCTACGTTCCCGTTACGCGCCCCTTGACGCGTCGCTTTCACGTCAGTCCACCTTCACGTTACGCGCCCCTTGACGCGTTGCTTTCACGTCAGTCCACCTTCACGTTCCGCGACCCTTGACACGTCGTTTTCACGTCAGTCCACCGTCTCGTTACACGCCCCTTGACGCGTCGCTTTCACGTCAGTACACGCGTCGCTTTCACGTCAGTCCACCTTCACGTTACGCGCCCCTTGACGCGTCGCTTTCATGTCAGTCCACCTTCACGTTACGCGCCCTTTGACTCGTCGCTTTCACGTCAGTCCACCTTCACGTTCCGCGACACTTGACTCGTCGCTTTCTAGTCAGTCCACCTGCACGTTACACGCCCTTTGACTCGTCGCTTTCACGTCAGTCCACCTTCACGTTACGCGCCCCTTGACGCGTCGCTTTCACGTCAGTCCACCTTCACGTTCCGCGACCCTTGACTCGTCGTTTTTTACGTCAGTCCATGTTCCCGTTACACGCCCCTTGACGCGTCGCTTTCACGTCAGTCCATGTTCTCGTTACACGCTCCTTGACGCGTCGGTTTAAGCTTCCCAACTACCGTCCCTTTAAAAGTGAGTCACCATACTAGAAGCTCCGTACTGCATCAGGGATTTACTTTTGATTTGTAGTGTACACCGCGTACCGTTCCTCAAACCAATATATCAATTTAAACAAGATCCCGAAAGTGTACATACACCAGACGCTGTTTGTCGATGGATGTCCCATACCATGATAAAACAAAGCTACTTAATAAAAGCCCATAGTACCTGTGACGCCATGATGAAACCCGATACAACGATTATCGATTTCCAGTGTTCTCCCATATGCCAGTATTTGCAGAGTATTCACGTCACTGTTCTGATTTGATTTACATTTATGGACACACAAGCATGTGCGTGATTCAAAACAACGGTGAGAAGATATCATCTGTCTGCCACAAACGCGCTACGTGCCGCAACAAATAGATTCTGGCAGCTTCTGGAATGTTGTCATGTGATACGACAATGAACAAACGCCAATGCAAGGCAAAAATGGCCAATACCAGCCATAGAAGCGTCGGGTAATTTGACGTTGTCAAGAAAGAATTCAAGGCGCCGAAGGCGTAATCAGGCTTCCGTACAAATGCATATCAATGGAAGCCAACGTGGGACAAAACAATGTCGCGAACAAAAGATCCAAATAATTGCCGTCGGTTAATACGAAAACTACGTTTCACGGAATGGGAGATTGAAGCCTAATATAGACTTGAATTAGCTACAGGGTTTTTTCTGGTCTTCTGAAAAATATTCAACGGTTTAAGTTCATTAAAAAGGAACTCTCCATCAATCGGATGTGAGGCATCCAGAAACATCCTATTTATTAGAATTAGAACCCTACAATATATATGCAACCTCTGACTGGATGTAATTCAAGTGTTGCTATAACAACGAGGGTAAAGGTCTGCGGTCCCCATTGATTATTTCCGTTTACCTTTTATGTTCACATGCCAGTTAGAATCTAACAACACATCTCCCAAGGCTTTTATTAACTTCGTCAGGGCCTCGCCAACGTTAATGTACATTTACTCACTGTGCATCTCTGAGGGGGAAATGTCGTGACTATTGCTTCTAATCTACCAATTACAGGGCAGGAAATTTAGATAATTTGACAGTATTGCGCCTTTTGAAAATAAGTAGCCAATCGGTGTCGACACTGGGCAAGAACGTGTTACAAAGAAATCCCTGTTGCCCGTATGAGTGTAAAGTGTTTATATATATTGCACTTTCATGTACGTATTGTGATACCTTTACAGCACAAAGGAAATCATATTAACATATATTCATATTTAGTTGTATATGTAGTAAGACCTGTTTTTGTTTCCTTTTACAGTGGAAACCTTGTTAAACCGGACGCTATCGTACAAATCGCCCAGATTGACACCTTTACGAGTAGCGAATTATTAGTATGGAGTAATATGACTTTGGATACATATTGGGGTTCTCAATACGAACGTCAAGGAGGGGAGGGGTAATTGCTGTTAATTTTTTAATCAGTGATTGACTCAAGTGTTCGCAGAACGCTTATGCATGTAGTCCTGAAGACTAGCAAATGGTCAGTAATTTCATTTACCCTCACTGTAAGGAACCCATAAGTCAATGCTGATGAAGATGCATGCTTATCTCGAGATAAACCCACTATTTTACCCCTTGGCTAAAAGTGCATTTAGGGCTGGTGTTTAAAAAATATAATGTAAGTACATATTTTAATGACATGCAACTGTTATATTCTCGCGTGGTGAAGGAAACGGACGAGCGACTGGATGAATGAGGCGACGTCTTGCATAGAGGGACACAAAGCATCATGGTTGAGAGACACACACATGTACCTTCTATACTGACCAACTTTGAAGCAGTTCTTTTCAATACTGGAATCATTTGAGTGACATGACAAAAAGGAGAAACAGTCGTTCCTTTCTAATTCTATTCAACGTACAAGATATTAAAGGACCAAGTCATTAAGACTTAATATCTAATGAATACATGTTTCGAAATGAAATGTATAATGGTTAAATTATTATGAAAGTCAAGCACATGTTATGCAAAAAACAGAGAAACTTACCATTGCTGTAAAACTCATCATCGGTCGTCTGCCCCTCACGTACATACAAAACGCCGATTTTGAAGTTAACGGATCCCTGTTACAACAATAAAATAAATACCCTTAGTTCACAATCTTCATAGATGTGTCTGCATCATACCTTATGGAACATTCATGCAGCCCATCGGTGTAGCTTTTTTCTATCGCAGTATCTCTCTTGCTAAGAAATAGATCGTCTACTGGTTAACCAGTAGAAAGAGATGGTTATGTTGCCAATGTAAGCTATTGTTACAGAGACAGGTCATGGTATTATCTCATTTAGATAAAAGTATTGGTGTCAGATCTACAAGATCCGAAGATCAAGGTATACAATCTGTTCCATTTCTGCGTAGTGTCTAACAATTCTCTTTATTCAAGGATGAAAGCGTCAATACATCTTACCTCTTGTTCTTCGAGCACTAAATGTTCCTTTTGAATATTTGGATCAAATATTTCCTTTGGTCCCTTTTCAAATTTCTGTAAGTCGAAGTGACTGAAAAGAGGAATTAATTGAAATATGAAACACGAGTAGCTGGGCTATATGTCAACGCAATACGATTCGTTTTATCAATATTAATTATCGTATTTTACATTGTGTGTTTCCTTTGAGGAATATCAAAATACACGTATTCTGATTTGACCCTGCATAAAGTTACAACATATTATTTTGTAATTAAAAGATTACAACAATATTTAAGTTGTAGGTAACTAAAGGTGTACCTCAATATTCCTTTGACTGTTTGTGGCTTCCCCGGGTTATAAGGCAATGAGAGTTTCTTAGCACCCTGAAAAAGTAGAACATTACTAACATTGTCAACATTGAATGATAGGTGAATTATACACAGTATGAATGTGAAAGGATGAAGGTAATGATGATGATGGGATGGGGTAACTGTATTAAAAGGTCAAAATAACACACACGTTGCGAAATAATAATGTTATCCGATGACGCGGTGTTCAATTACGTTTTGGCATTTCTGCATCGTTGAGGAGTTTACAAATACAGTCGTGAACGTCCATTAAGTATCTGATGACAGTAAATGGGGAAAGATAAAATGTCAATTTATACACATTCATAGCACAGCAAAGGATATAAACGTACAGTTTTCCTCCACAATATGGCTCTGTATTGAGGGACGTTGTGGTTGTTGGCGTCGGTGACAATGACGGACAACAGAAACGGCTCCTTCTCCAAGTCCACGCCGACGTAATTCTGATGTACTATAAACATATTTAAATACGTTTGTTTCAGTGGCTCGGTAAAACGTTCATAAAGTTTTTTTATCGTAGACATGTGGATAACATTTCAAAGTGATGCATTCCCCATTTTGCCTTGTACCATATGTTACCGTGTCTTTTTTAAGATGAACGATTGGCTTGCCTTTGCATGTGTTTGTTAAGGGTGCTACCGGTGAGGCGGGATACGTTCACCTTTTTGGGAACACCTGGTATCATCAAAATTTGGTAGTGATTCATAAGCACATATTCTCATATTTAGTCGGGAATATACAATCGACACTTTCTTTTGCATCTTGAAAGTTTCTTTTGTTTTTATTTACGATTCATTTCTGTTCAGGGATAAACTTTTCTTAAATAACAAATACACTACTCTAAGAATTTTAAGAACACCATGTGACCATGTTCCTGGTGTATAATTAGGGATATTGAGTGGATAAATATACATGTATTAAATCTACAAAATTATTAACGGTTTAGTTATTTTCAGAGATAAAGTGAATTAGCAAATATACAAAAGAGTACCTGTAGACAGAAAGGACTAAACGACCGTCTAAAGCGTAGGATTTTTGATACAGATTAAATGAACATGAATGTTTAAAATCTATAAGACGATGTGGACCTATTAAGGGATAAATTGTCTTGAAAAAGCACATATACTGACGGGAAGAAATAAGGGAACGGCTACATTGGAACCCTGTCTTTGGCACAGAATTTCAAAAGCATCGTAAAGATAAGGCTGGGCTCTCTTTAGTGTATTTGGATTTCAAGCAAGAAAATGGGATTGGAGGTCTATATGACACGAAAAAATAGAAAATAAATTTGAAGAATATTTCAATTTGTTTGATATGGGGGGGGGGGGGCTAGATCATTTTGAGTTATTACATAATTTTAATAATTGACTGTTTGAGTTAATTCCATTTGGCAAGCAATAGTATTACACATTATAAATATTATATATGTATTAGGTTCTATTTTCAACCAGAATCAGATCTTACTTACATTTCCCCAGGAAGTACTTGAAATACCATCTTGTCTGGTACTCCGGGTTTTCTAGATGAATTGGGCTGTTGAGAGGACTAGACAGCTGAAAAAACATACACACGGATGAGTGAGTGAGTGGGTGGGTGGGTGAGTGAGTGAGTGAGTGGGTGAGTGGGTGAGAGGGTGAGTGAGTAAGTTAGCTCACTAAGTATGATTCTACGCCGCCTTTTGTAATATTCCAGTAATACCACGGCGGGGCGGTGAGACGGGGCTTCACACAATTTACCCATGTGGGGAATCGAACCCGGACCTTAAGCGTGACGAGCGTACGCTCCAACCACTAGGCTACCCCACCGCCCTTATACACATACTCGGACGATTATAACCTCAATCAAGTAAAACCTTTACAACTCGAACTCGATACATCATTAAGGAAGATGCAACTTGATGCTCCTTGAAAAATCGTTATCAACACTACAGTCATCTATCGACAATTCGTGTATCTCGAAATACGGTTAACTCGACATACTATTTACTGATCCCAAGGGTTCACTATATGTTGTTCGTGACTGACACATGAAGCTAGTTATGTCTTGATCAGTTTACACACCCCAACACTTTAAACGAGATAATTGGTTTCTAAAAATATACTTGGAAAAGAGAATTTTTACGAGCTATATATCAATTCATCTGACCGTAGGGATCAAATAAGCTTTCATAAACAAAAGGGCAACCGGTGTTTTCAATCAATGAAAGCTTGATGCTGCAGATAACCGCAATGACATTCCGAAATGTGATGTCCGACATTGATTTAATCCTCGGCATTTGTTTACAGACGCGCTTTCAGCCCAAATTAAACCCTTTATTTTTGTGATTTTGTCTCGGATAATGGCCGTTCCCACCACATCGTATATTTGTTCTCTTCACTGATTACATACAACCTTATCGCAGGACCTGGAGTATCGGAATCGCACTTTCACAATAGAAAAACTTGGACCAAAATTAAAGTACGCTGCGTATTTTGTGTAGTGTTATGCGGACATATGTCAGGCTGAATTCATGTTCTTGCGAGTGAGTTTAAGCAGCTTTTAGCAACATCCCCGCAATATAAAGGCGGGGGACGCCAGAAATGGGCTTCACACATTGTGCTCATGTGGGGAATCGAACCCGTGTCCTCGGCGTGACGAGCTAACGCTTCAACCACTAGACCACCCCACCACCCCAGGTCTTACGAACGCGTTAATGCGGAAATGTATTTAAGAATTGACTGGGAATGGCATCACTGGAGCATGAATCTTCATACAATGAGGGCCAAACTGTATGAACGTTGGCGCTTGCGTCAATGTTATCACTATCAATCATATCACTAGTTTATACCACGAAGGATGTAGATCTAGATCTAAACACAATTTTATTAACTACTGTGACTTCATGTTTATACTTACAGCCATACAACAACCAGCTGTATAGCGGAATAAAATAGTTCCTCAAAAAGGGGGGTGACGTGAGAGCATGTATGCACAACGTGCTCTACAGGAACATCTGTTGTAGTTTGTTTATTACAAATGTATTCAAACAATATCATCATTGGATGAGAAAGGTGTGTTAATAACGACCCCAGTAAGTCAGTCACAATGACAGCGCGTCGTAATACATGACGTACATCAAGTACATGACGTCAAAATGGCCGACACTCCTGTGGCGGTTACATGTGTCGGTCATTAGCGATCAATTGACCGACCATTGAAAGGTGATTATAAAGATGTGTCAAATAGATATTGAGATAAATTAACAGATTGCTGTATACCGTCACTGACACAGATCGAGACGATACTACGATAGTTTGGATGTTTGCACTTCTTCGCTTAGTTCACTTGGGTGGGTCGTAGCGAGGATATTCGTGAGCGATCATGCAGTCAAGCTCTCTGACGTTTCTCAACGAATGCTAAAACGCTGGATTCAAGATCAAAGGGTCTAAATGATTAGGTACAACGCTTCTGTTTGTATTCGTGCTGGGGAATTCACAGGGGTTCCCCCAGGAATGAGTAAGTGTCAGTGTTTACGTCATTTCAAGAATACGGTCTCGTGAAAAATGCATGAACGACAAATTGTGGTCACGTTAATGACCTCTCGTCCGACGGTGTGATCTTCACATTGAAAAATTGTATATACATAAAAATATTAACTTTGTCAGGTCACTCGGTGAGATAATATGTTATTTGAAAAGACAATGCACAGATGCTTCGTTTATTTTATGTTATCTTCCTACTTATCTTCATGGCAATACTTGAAAACAAAAGCGTTACTAAGTCTTACATTGATCGAGTAATCCGGAGTTTGACTTAATGCCGATTCGACATCTCCAACTACGGATCACTCACCACTCGCTACCCGCCACCCGCCGCTCGACATCCGCAACCCGCTTCTCGCCCCCCGCCGCTCGACGCTCGCCATCCGCCACTCGACACCCGCCGCTCGCCGCTCGACACCTGCCACCCGCCATCCGTAACCAGTCACCCGTCACCCGTCACCCGCCACTCGCCACCCGCGATCCGCAACCAGTCACCCGACACCCGCCGCCCTACTCCCGCCATTCGCTTAATGGGTCCCGCCACCCGCCATCGTTGTGAAGGTAATAAGGTTATTTACAAGTTGGCACAATGTACATATAACCCAAGAGATGGCTTACCCCGAGATGGTGTGTGTCCTCGACATCTCGTTCCCCGGATTCCACACGAAACCGACCGGCATTTTGAGTGGAACCGTCGGAATCAACAGATGTGAGCTGAAAATAAAAAAAATATGCATATCACCACGTGACCAACAATCTCGAATTCTACCACGTATTATTCTTGAACGCAACAATGGTGACAGATGAATCTTTACTGTCTGCCAGGAACGAAACCCAGCCTCTGTACCAAACAGCCTGACAATAATCGAAACTGAACAATTTAAACCAATGGCTGATGGCATGAACACTGGTTCATTTCGCCGAGGTACGATGATTTACCTTCGGCTGAGAAGCATATTGTCATCATCTTATTCCCATTTTATTCGACAGTTTCAGTTGCCCTAGGATCATTGCCATTATGTCATTCCAATATTTGAAATGGGTAGATAGTTCGATAAATCGTTACAAAGCTATGCGGGGGCACGGTTGGCCCAGTCGCCTAAGGCGCCGCGATTCGCTGTGCAGAGTTGCGGCCCGTGGGCACGCCAGAAACATATGATTGTGGGTTCGAATCCCGGTTCGCCCCGATTATGTTTCTAGGTTTGTCAGCACCATACCCGTGCTTGTGGGTTTCACCGAAGTGGTAAACGTCTGAGACCTGCATCACTTCGGGCTTTCCTCCCACATTAAGCTGACACGCCGTGATATAACTGGAATACTGTTAAAGGCGGCGTTAAACCCAACTCACTCACTAACTCACTCACACATAGCTATGCACACCCGTTGCCAAGTTCTAACATGTTAGAAAGCAGGTCCACAGCAAGCAATGCTCGTCGTACAAGACGGCTAAAAGGATTTTGGGATCAAGTACGGTGACTTGTTTGATCACATCGGGTTTTTTTTAAATACTTTCAATCACTGGTCAAGACTCGATTATTGAAAGGACGCCGACATACATGCATACATGCATATGAATACATGAATATAACTGAGTGTGGCGTTAAACAACAAACAAACAAAATTCAAGAAAACTAAATTGCAATATGTTACATGTTGCATGTCGTTTTAATATTACCCGAATAGTATTATGTATAATGCAAGTGTTATACCATCGTAATGTGTCTGGGATACAAAATATATCTAGTTTATGTTGATCAAAGCTACTATGTAGTTAGCATATAATCAGATATTTCCTCGTGAGGATTCCAGGGCAGATTAGGTGCAGACTCAGGCTTTCACAGTACATAAACATTTGTGTTTATGAATCACAATCAAATAGCGATACTACCTGTTCGTGAATGGGTTACAGTAAAGTACGGTTATAACGAACTCAAAGGGACTACTAATTTTAGTTCGTTATAACCGTAGTTCGTTATAAGCATATATACAGCATAACTACAGCAAATAGTCTGGACCAAAAAAGTAAGTTCGTTATATCCGTCAATGCGTTAAAAGCGTGTTCGTTATACCCGTAGTTTACTGTATTTATTGTTTCGCGACGGTGTGAAATTGGTGTTTGTTATTCAAGAAAGCTGTTTCACCTTGGGCAAATCTCGCACCAGATGCCTATGTGTTTCACGGCTCTTCTACTGTAAGTGAGAAATTCAAAAGTCATTTGAGAACAATGACTTCATTAAGGAATTGATTTAGCTAAGTATAGTGTTGGCCTGCGCTGATTTTAGACCAAAACGTTAAACATTGATAGCCAAAGTGTTATGTTGAATCGATCTGCTAAATGAACTCAACTATCAGGTGGCACATTAAACGGACTTGTTATGACATTGAGGAACTTCGGCATTGTTTAGCGCCAGCAATCAGTCTTTATTGACGTGAATAATTATACAATACATGAAGGTCTTAGGCCTTCATTCCGTCGCTTGCCTGATGGATGTGTTTCCTTTTGTCTTTTGTCTTTCTCCTCGGACTTTGTTCGTGAATGGAGGATTACTTCCCGCCATACAAGGGGCACCGTCAACGCAAGTCAATTGTTCACCTGAACACGGGGGCGGTCGGGTATCCTAGTGGTTAAAGCGTTCGCTCGTCACGCCGAAGACCCGGGTTCGATTCCCGACATGGGTACAATTTGTGAAGCCCATTTCTGGTGTTCCCCGCCGTGATATTGCTGGAATATTGCTAAAAGCGGCGTAAAACCATACTCACTCACTCACTCACCTGAACACGGGAACAGATGGTACATGTCTAAATAAGGCATCGCATCGGACAGAAGTTTTGCCATCGATGCGTCAAATACCGAGAGGTCCTCCACATGTTGACTGTGTAACGTTTTGAAAGCTTCGCTGAGGAATTGAATGTGGTAACCTTGATGAAACAACAGTTATACGTTGTGAAATGGAGACACAAAAGGCTGGAGCTGCTCGACACAAAGGAAAATTCGACCTTTGGAAATTTGAAGTCATGTAGAGTCAGAGCACTCTAAGTATTTATAATGTCCAAAGGTTGGCATACGGAACATATCTTCACTGAAGAATACTTGGTGGCAGCATGATTTGTAGTAAATGAATTTCCGGGAAATTTTTTGAAATTTACTCCAGATAGTCACGACACGATAATAGGATAATTTGAGACACAAATGTGCCGTTATACAATAGCAAGATAAGCAATCATTGTCACGGGGGCAGAGATTAAATTAGAGAATTCCTGATACGATCATATAAATAAGGATTTTGTTTGGGCAGGGATCCTGCTCTCCATGTCTGTTTCGTATCAGCACAGGTTTACCGGCTAAATATTGCCTCCAAAACGCATGCGCATTCAGATTGGACGTAACAATTTACATTACAAATTATGTGGAACGCAAAAGAGTAATGAATCTTTGCACCATTAAATTGTAGAGTGCATTTTACATGTAACAGACAGCACTGGTAAAAATAACTTCAGAGTGTCGGTGGTTGATTTTCCATAATCTCACGTTGAATGTCCATCCTAATACACTTAAGCTTCTGACATCACTAAACGTCTTAGAAATAGTGTTTTATGTATTGCACTAGTCACACGTCGGTCCAAGCTACTTCGAACAATGTAAGTAAGTATAATGTTACGCCGCTTTTTGACCAACATTGTAGATTGCCTTTTACATGCAACTGACAGTTTAGGTGAAAATAACTCCAGAGTGTCAATGGCTCCACATTCCTAATAAACGCAAGTTTCTTATAGCTCTCAATTTCTTGGAAATCAAATGAAGATTTGGACCCGAATTATATATTCCTGACAATCCTTGGAATCGAAAATAGATGGCCCCAGTTAATCACTGCGCAAGTATTCCATTCGAATAGCAATGTTGATTGAATTATTCACTTGTTGAAATGCCCGCTATTTCGCACAACAGTGAGTTCGTTAATATAGTTTTACGCCGCTTTAAGCAATAATTCCACCAACATAATGTCGGGGGACACCAGAAATGAGATTCACACTTTGTACTCAATAGGGGAATCGAACCTGGGACTTTGTCGTGACGAGGGAACGCTTAAACCATCGGCCGACCACACCGCCCGTTAATGCGAGAAACACAAAGACAGAAAGGTTCTGTTGGGCTGTTGTGCAGCTAAATACCTGAACTTACAGAACAGGGGCTACACCAAATGAGCGTTGTTCAGTTTTGACTAAATGGAAATTTATACCAGGGTGTCAAGTTGGACATGACATCCTCAATAACCGTGCCACTCCGTCCCCCGGCGTTATAAAAGTGAATGGCAAAGGTGCAATGTAATTGTGTTTCCTTGAACACGACATTGTGTTACTTTAATCACGTCGGTCTCCAACGCTTTTGGACATGTATGGTTAGTTATTCAATCAATAGTCATCAATTGTACGCCAACGTAATGTTCCCCGGTACAATTTGTATTGAATAACGGTATTAGGTACGGTCTTGTGAGGTCCATACATCATTCCAGGAAATAAACTTGAATTCAGTTTCAATGAAGCCACATCCTGTGTAGCTACATTTCAGATACATTACAAGATCGATAACTCAAAGTTCTTGGGACAATTGAAAAAATCACCTGATATCGATACAATATAATTTCAAGGTTGAAATAAACTATTACGCATTTGGAGATGATCGGATGTTATTGTTTCCTTTGGAGGGTACAGGTGAGTGAGCGAATATATTTTGATGCCGCTGTATCAATATCGCAGCATTATCATGGCGGGGATACCAGAACTGAGCTTCACGAACGCATTAACAACTGGTTACCCCAACGATCAATAGGTTTCGACCGTATACATACACAAGTAAGCTCGTTTGGGTAAAACTTATTATTTCGAAACCTCGGTACATAGGTCTGTTGGTAGATGCTTTAAAGTTTCTTTGACTACAATCTTGACCGACCATGACATACTGAGATGTGCAGTGTCGCTACCCTCTGAACACGAGACGATCTTATCGACCCCCCAGTCCCCTGGCTCATTCATTAAAGAACCTCTCGACAGTCAATTATTCCAGGGTCATCAAGAAATCATTACATCAATGTATTTCATAACGTGTCCTTCACATTCTGCCCCTGTACTCGTGGATCAAACGGTTGCAATCAATACCGATCTGAAGGCATGACAGGCCAATTGGACCATTTGGAACCGAGGAGGATCAATGGTGACGATACTACGAACCATTTATTTTACTGATCAATTAACATTCATGGTGCAAAAGGGGTCATTTATTATACAGCAAGGGATATGGATCTATCGCAATAAATTTTGAATATACTGCTAAAGACTGCAAATGTCATTTAAGTGGATGGTATTTTTTTGTGCGTGGGTTGGGCCAATTTCCTCAAAGATTTATCCCGAGCATTTTGTCTTGCTTGACGTGAAAGAGCTTCACGTTGAGGTTCAGAGACCTCATTCACAGTACTTGTGACAGTCTGGCGATCACTTGATTGGGTTATTTATTTTTTCGCGACGGTGTGAAATTGGTGTTGGTTATTCAAGAAGGCTGTTTCACCTTGAGCAAATCTCGCCCCAGATGCCTATGTGTTTCACGGCTCTTCTACTGTAAGTGAGAAATTCAAAAGTCATTTGAGAACGATGACTTCATTAAGGAATTGATTTAGCTAAGTATAGTGTTGGCCTGCGCTGATTTTAGACCAAAACGTTAA